CAAAGGGAAAGACCATCAAGTCTGAATTTTTATGTCAAACGAAACCCAATTAAAATTCATCTCTTCCCTTACAGCTTATAATATTAGATTGCTACAGGAGGACTCAAGTGTAGAAAACACTACTTCTCACACTATGGCTTTAGGCTCTCCTATCAGTACATAATGGAGGGGATATGTTCTCAATGGGGAACAGATAACTGCGAATTTTTTCCCATTGACTATATTTGCTGACAGAAAATATCAAACACCATGTAAAAACAAAATAATCTTATTTTATTGTTGAGACAATCCAGTGGAGGGTCAGCAAACTACAGCCTGAGGGCCAACGCCAGTCCATGCCTTGTTTTCATACTGCCAGAGAGCCAAGAATAGTGTTCACATTATTAGGGAATTGTAAAAAGGACAAAATGATGAACATACAACAGAGACAGTATTGTAGTTCACAAAGTCTAAAACACTTTACTATCTGGCACTGCAGATAAAACATTTTCCAACCCCCAAACTAGACAATACCCTAGTAAAGAAGATTGCTAACAAAAACTACATACAAAGAGTTATTCACGGTTTCTGCCTAAATTCATTGTTAAGAAATAGTCATCAGGGACTTCCCTGGTGGCGCAGTGGTTGGGACTCTGCACTCCCAATGTGGGGGGCCGGGTTCGGTCCCTGGGCAGGGAACTGGATCCCGCATGCATGCCACAACTAAGGAGCCCACCTGCTGCAACTGAGGAGCCGGCGAGCCCCAACTAAGGAGCCCATCTGCTGCAACTAAGACCAGGCACAACCAAATAAATAAATAAATAAATATTTTAAAAAAGAAAAAAGAAATAGTCATCAGAAAGAAGATGGAGGGACAAATTTTACCATCCACAGGGTTTTTACTTCTTGGACCTCTATTATTAAGCATTCGTCAGCAAACGTCCATAGGGAGTATCTTGTGTCAAGTCTAGTGTGTTTAAGCTGGTCAGGGTGTGATAAGACCAACAACTTCATTTTGTTCATAGCCTCCCTCCTGAACTGCTTGCCTCCATCCAACTCAAACGTTGTTACCAGGCGTCCCAGCCCTGCTGAGACCTTGCTTTACCCTTTGTTCACAGCATTGCCTTGTTCAGAGATCTGCTGGTCAACATCACTTCTCTGGCTCTGATCTCAACTTCCATTTGTAACCACTCTTTTGATGGTGCTACTTCAGAGCAAACCCAGAATGGTCTCACAGAGACCAGCCCATTCTTACGTGACAGTTCTTGTACTGTACAGTGTAGCTGATGAGTGCCCATACTGGTATGAAGCCAGGCATCCTGTCACCCAGGGACATGGAAACTGAGTACGCAACTGGTGATGCCAGACCAGGAAGCCAGCCAAACTGGCTCAGTCAGGACAAAAATCTACTTTGTGTTTGGTTTTTGCTCCAGTGTGCCTAATTCATTTGATGGGGACTTGGGTTTTCTTTTCAGATTTTGAATTTGAGAAAGATATTAATTTGGGGAATGAAGTCAGGAACACTGGAATTCTAAGGCAGTCCACGGCAGTGTCTCTTAACTAAAAGCCAGGGACCCCTATGACAATGTTTATTTAGTATTGAATCCCGCTCGCTTGAATCAGAATTCTCTTGGGTGCTTTTAAAAATTCAGAATACTAGGACCAGCTCCTTAATACCTAATGAATCAGAATTTCTGAGAATGTTGTCCCAGTGTTATTCATTTGTGTACTAAATTTTCAGGACCAATGACCTAAGAGGGCCGTAGTACAGTTTCCAGGGGATTTTTTTTTTTTGACCCACTGAAATTATTTGCAAAAATTATGTGATGGTTCAAACTGCATTTTTGTAAAGTGATATTACCCATCATGAAATTCACAAATCAAAATGATAAGAACCTCTGGTTTTAAGAGGAAATAGACCCACTTACTGGACAAGTAACAAGTCTTGGAAGGATAATGTTCCTCCCTGCCCATGGGTCATGCAGCTCTTCACAGGTGCTAGCAGCACAGACCCCCAACATTTCCATTTTACCCAGAGAAGCAGTTTTGCTAATTTTTCTTTGAGATCAGAGCTCCTCTGGGGTGCAGCTGAGGTCTGACCTTGCTATTTTGTATCCTAAAATCATTTGCATTCAGTAAAAGGTTGTCCAAGTATGAGGGCCACATGAAGCTCTTCATAGAATACAACTGACCCTGCCAGCATCTAAGACAAATGAGGAAAACACCGCTGAGTGGGGAAAGTGTTTGATTGCTCATCTCTCATCCCCAGTCAGTCAGGCCACTCACTTTACCTCTTTCCTCCAGTTCCTCTTTTGTGAAAAGGATTTTTTTTTTTAACTGTCTTGGGATTCTGCACCCAGTTCCAACGTGTGGGTTTTTTCCACACCTCCAAGGGATTCTCACATACCACCAGATGGGTGTCCTACAGTTTAACACAATTCTGACACGATCTACCTGAAGATAGCATCAGATCCCACAGGTTAAGGGCTCACCCCCTCCCACTTTGGGTGCCCATCACAACTCCAGATTGTAACTTGTGCTTCTGATCCATCAGCTATAGATCTGAGAACCTATATAGCACCTCCTTGGGTTTAATTAATTTGCTAGAGAGGCTCACAGAACTCAGAGAAACAATTTACTTACTAGATTGCTGGTTTATTATAAAAGGATATAACTCAGGCACAGCCAGATGGAAGAGATGCATAGGGCAAGATATTTGGGAAGAGGCTTGCAGGTTCCTTGACCTCTCTGGGCACACCACCCACCCAGCACATCCGTGTGTTCACCAACCTGGAAGCTCTCTGAACCCTGTCTTTTTTGGGGGTTTTATGGAGGCTTCATTACATAAGCATGATTAAGTAAATCATTAGCCGTTCATTGTGACTGAACTCAATCTCCAGCCACTCTCTCCCCCCGGAGGTGGGTGTGGAGGGGATGAAAATTCCAACCCTGTAATCCCTCTGTTGGTTTCCCTGGCAACTGGCACAGTCCTAAGGAAGTCACCTCACTGACATACGAGAAGACACCTTTATTACTCTCAGCACAGGAAACTCCAGGAGTTTTAGAAGCTCTGTGCCAGAAACCTGGTGGAAGACCAAATATATACTTCTCCCTATAAATCTCAATACCACAGATCTGACTCTACTTACCTCCCAAAGTTTAAAAAAATAATAATAATGTGAGAGTGAGAAAGTTAGAGATTGCTCAGTTGCTACCTAACTCCTTTGTTTTATGGAGGAAGATATCAAGGCTCAGAGTTAAAGGGATCTGTGAAAAGTTCCTAGCTTGATAAAAACTATAAGGACTGTCAATTACAATATCTCATTGGCTCCTTAAGATTCTTCAGGGAAAGATATGTTAGCTGGTTTTAGTAGATTATCTGGCTCCAAGTCCAATGCCCTTTCCACTTTACAAAACTGGCTCATAAATGAATGACAGATACGAAATTTCTGAGTAAATACAAAAGGAAATGTAAATATAATGCCCTATTATGACTATTTCACCTCTGACTCAATAAGATTTTTTTGTTTGCAGCTGGAAACAAAGATTCCTTAGCCACGTGGTGTAATAAACAGAACACCAGCCTGGTAATCAGGAGAACTACCCTAGAGGTACCCTTTCCTATGGCAAAGGATGCTTTCTTAGGTCGGTTTCCTAAATGGGAACTGATCCAGTCTTTCATACGTTGCTCTCCAAGCAACTACCTAACCTTTTAAAACTTGATTTTTCATAACCAGTCTTCCTATCCACAAATCTTGCCTCATAGAGCCTTTTATGATATTTGCTTAATTCCCTCCCTAGAGTCCCTTCACTGGGCAGTGTAGAAGGTTGTTGCTGAGTCTGTAGGTTGGAGAAGAATTGAAGCTAAGGTGGAATATAAAATAATCAAAAAACAGTGAAATGCAGACAGACAAAATCTGACCTCAAACACATTCAACAAAAACATCTCATTCACTGAGAAGCTGAGAAGCTTATATTCTTGATTTAAAATGTATGTCAAAGGAGCCATCTCTTCAAGGTCAAACAAGTCTGTTTTGAAGCCAAGCAAGACTGAGAAAGGAAGAAAAACCTTGGCAAAACTCAAAATTGCAACTACTCAAAATAGGCTATTAACTTATTAGTCATGTGAGAAGCACTAAATATATTTACTGCTATCATACTTCCCGTAAGTGTCTTCCACAAGTGGAGACTGGGGAATGTACACAGAAAGAATAAAGTAAAATAAGCATAGAGACTATTAATAGTATAAACTCCATGAAGTTCTCAAACGGAAGATGCAGGAGCATACTTTTTAAAACAGTATGTTTCACTAGAGAAAGATGATATTAAAATCAAGCTGAATATTTGAGTCGTTGAAAAGGGCCCACTATGTATTTCTCCACTAATATCCTTGAAAATGTATAACGGCAAGGCTGTCCTTAGTTATTTTGAGGATGGTTACCAGAAATCACTCCCTTTCTCCAACCTCCTCCTCTCTCCTTTCCTCAACTACAGATCTTGTTAAATATGCTTCAGAAGATGAGAAAATAAGGAAGATATTTGACAGATGAGCATTCTCTCCTAGCCTCCCCCTGACATAATTGAGTTGCATATTATGAAAAGTCAAAACTAGTCACAAATTTTAAGTTTATAAGTTGAATGCAGGAATCCCTTGTTACACAAATCGAATCCATCCCTAAAAGCCTGCTAGTGAATTTTTATAGTAGGACTGTGTTCCCAACCACTTTCCCCAAGTATCACTAAAACACTCTGCAACATCTACCTAACAATTCCCCCATTGTCTAATTATTTAATACTTGCTGCACACCTCAGTGGGTGTTGTTATATGCCAGACCCAACAGTACTGTATAGTTTTGGATATTATTACATTTTCTTTCAATAATGCAACAAATATATACCCTAATATAAAGAAATTGTTAAGCAACCATTTGAAGATAGACAATGAGCACAAACAACAATTGCAAGAGGAATTTGAAGAGCAAGGCAGATTTTATAAATAGTTGCTTACTGACTGCAGTTACCTGAGTGACGTCTGTCGGCAAGAGGAGGCTGCTTGATGGGAGGTGAAGGTGACCAAGAACCATCTGGTAAAAGAGAGAGACAGTGAATGTGTGAGGTCCACCCGCGGCCAAATGCAAGGAACTGGTAGACAGCCTTCTCCTGGCACTTGAGATCCCGTTAACCTTGGTCAACTAGACCAGAACAGGAAAAAGAAGAAGCTCTTCCAGCCACTTTGAATATTGAGAATGATGGCTAAGACTAAACTCTAGTCCAAGGAGAACACTCTTAAATGCACATTATATCAGATTGCTGAGAAAGAATAGATGGGAAATCCAAAATATAGACAATTTTGTCTTCTACTTTGACACACTATACAACGTAAACAAATGCAGAACTCCTCATTGCTAAGATAACCTCTAACGATCTATCTCGCCAATAATCATGCCAGAGATGCCCAAACCCTGAAGCAAGGAATTCAGCTGGGGTCAAAAGCTAAGCCGGAGATTTGGTTCCACTTGAACTTATGAACAAAAAATGCAAATGCTTTCTCTGGAGCATTTTTCACATAGTTTGCAATGTGGATCCTCAGTTTATTTTTGGCTTGTGTGACAGGAACTTAGTGAAGGGCCCTCTGGGGGCTCAATCATAGATGGACGCTTAGGAACACGCCTGTGTGACGACAAACTTCCTGCCAGGTTGGGACCCCAGCATCGGAAATAGGCTCCCAGTGACTCATTCAGCTCCAGTAGAGCTCCTGGGATTTCTACAGCATCGCAGAGCCCGGCAGAGTGTGAGGATACACCCTGACAGCTGCTTAGCTCTGACTCCAAGCCCTTCTGTGTGAAAAGCACTAATCCAGCTGCTTGCTGTCTCCCTCTCACTGGGATCTGGTTCCCTCTGTCCTCTTGTCTAGTCTTCTAAAAGATATCAGAAGCGTAGCTGCCTTTGCCCTGGGAGGAAGACATTTGGATAAATGTCAACTGAACATTTTGATAGAAGAGCTGATTGAAGGAGTCTTGGGCTATATATGAAAAGGCAACTGGAATGTGAAAGGTGCAGTCATCTGAGAAATTTGGGAAGGCAAACTACATAAATGACAAAAAGTAAATGCAGCCTGACATTTATTAGAGGAACATAATCCTGCTGAAACAGAGAACAGATAAAGAAATACTCGCAAAACTCCTTTTCCACACCATAGAGAAAATGTAAGCTTGTCTGTATCGCATATAACAGCTCAAGGGTACACAAAGCGGCTACTCCATACTGCCTGGATTGGCAGCAGGGGGTGGATTTTTGCTCCTTTGAGGAGCCTGATTTTGATCATAGTGATGTGCATGGGACCTGAGCAGAGTCAGGAACTGACTTTCCCAAAGAGAAAAGAGAATATTTTGTGATGCTTCTGATGGTATGCCCTGCTTTTTCCCAATGAGTTTGATCAGCTACTTTACAACTATAAGACAACTAGGTACTATGCATTGTTATCTGTTTCAATCCAGCGGGCTCCCTCTCTTTGCTCTGAGCAGGTGGTATCCTGCTGCTACACATAAATAGTGCCTCAATCCAGATTCTGGTGGTGTCACATCAGACCCATGTCCCGTGTTATAGGAACAGAGGACATGTGCCATAGTTATCATGATGTGAACATGTCTGTTAGACCCAAGAGAGACCGTGTGTGTGTGTGTCTGAGTGACCATTTTCAAAAAGCAGCAGGTTTTGTTGTTGCAGTAAGTATCCTTAGACTAGGAAAAGGCTCTGGAGGCAGACTAGGTGTGGTCTTAGGCAAGTTACCTAACTTTTAAAGTTTTTTCTTCTTTATACATGAAATCACAATAATACCAACTACCTTACAGGTATTGTGTCAAATTTAGAGAGAATGTACATAAAGTACAGGGAACTCAGGAGGAAGGCCATAAATTAGATCGATTTTATTTTTATTATAATTGTTAAGTTGGAAAGCTACTATTTAACACACTGGCTTTTTTTTAACCTTTCCAGGAACATCACAAGGAAACCATTCCTGGCCTCAGGTTCTCTCTCATTCCTTGAAGAATTCTCCTATCAAGGGTTCAGGGGAATCTGAGGGTGAAGAGTAGAGGTGCGCCTCCGAGAGCTGCATGTCCCCGGCTCATTTATTGGTCAACAAGGATTATAATAACAGAAAGCTTTTCTCAGGAAATGGCAATCAAAGGGTGAGCCTAGTAATACCTCTCCTTAAAAGGCAAAAGTAAACTCTCACTGACTTTCAATTTACAGAAAACTCTGAAATAATGTCCACTCGCAGGAGATGGTGTTGCTCATAAATGGTGTTCAAACTTTATTCCAAACAAGCTCATTAATAAACAAAGAAGGTTGTACACTTCATTCATTCGATCATGATGGGAAAACAGAAGCACAGAACTGAAAATCTGTATAGCATATCACGTCTACACAGATTTCACTAACAAATGGGCATTCCTCCTGCAGTGAATTCCCTCCTTTATATTATCATGGCCACAATATAAAAAGAACCATCCTGGTCAGTTGTCATAAGTGTTATGAATTTATCACAGCTGTACCCACACAAGTCTGTTTGCCAACAGCTGGGTCTGAATTCATAGTCCATTCTCCTTGACACACAGAGCTGACCATCCAAATGATGCCTTATCACAACCCACAGAGGCTTCAACAAAAACAAAAGCCAAATACCTTCAGAACAACCCCTACAGACTGACGCTGATCCCAAACCAAGGATGGGTTCTATTTCCTATAAACTCACTTGAAGATTTTCAGGGGCTGTATATATGAACGGGTGCATGATGACCTAAAGGATAATCCAGAAATATTTCAAGTGTCACTTCACAGACCAAATTGTAGTTTATTAATAGGATATTTAAAAAGTCAGGAATAAGAGCTTAAGTTTTAAACATCTTAATCAAATGGTATTTTAATATGAGCAGCAGATACAACTGTCTCCTATAAATTCCCAGTGCTTACTTGCATTTCTTTCTTGGAAGGTTCAAAATTCCTCAGCTGTTTCTTCCTGATTTATCTGACTCAGTGGAGCCATTCAGTGATATCCTTAATCTGACCTAGGAGATGTCCTTAGTTTGGCTCATATTTACTGAGCACCAAGTATGAGGCTCAGAGAATGGTTCGGCTAGTTGTCTCTGGGGTGGACCCAGTGATGGTATATGGTCAGACCACCCAAGATGGCTGTTCTCTTGCTCTCTGTACATCCCCTCCTTGACCAGTACCTGTTTCACCTACACCCTACTCACATAACTGACCTTCCTATGTACTTGCCCCAGGCCCCAGCTAGTGATTGTTCTTACCAGAGGGGCGGTGAAGGGCTTGCCCTTCTGCTAGTTTCCCTGGTAACCCATGAGCCAACCTGACATACATTCCCTCTATAACTGGTAATCTTCCCTTCCCCACCACCCCCTCCACCGGAAGCCAAGACTGCGACCATGTCCTGCCCCACCATCCACCACATACAGTGGGGTGTCACTAAGACTTTGCTTCAGACACGTAAGATCCCCGTATCCATTAAACCAATAGTGTCTCTGTCACCAACTCCGAGCTCTTTCTTCAGTCTTGAAGCTCGCAAGTACAGAGCTTGAAGGCCTGTGCAGTGCAGACCAACAGGTGGCAAAGCAAATATTCAAGCCAGATACTTGGAAAAGTATCCCTTTATCAGATCACCCAGAAACCAAAGATACTCCTCTTGTGGGACATTTCAACACAGAATTGTTTGGGGAGCTAAGTGAATTATATTTTTTATTTAGATTCAAATGTGATCTCCTAATGGTTTCAAGCATATTTTGCATCTATTAATTTGCCTTAATTAACAGAACTTACCATAGTACTTATCATAGTACTGGACTATATACTTATTTTTTAAATGAACATTTGTAGAAGTAAATTAAACTGAGGCACATTCTCAGGAGAAAGAAAGGTGAAGCAGTCCACTGGGGCTCATTCTGGTGCTAATATTTTATTTGGTTCTCACCTGCCTTTAGAGTTTCTTCAAGAAGGGATTATGTCAGTAGTTGAACTCTGTAAACTGAGTGACTGAACTTCATCACAGAATTCAACCTCCAGTTTAGAGGATTTATCTGAAGGGTTTTTATGGGCAAACGGTGTCTTCTGCATCGACTGTCATAAAATTGGAAGTAATTTCACACGTGGGGGTCCAGTTCAAGTTCTAAAGTGAGACGGAGCAAGGTTCTAATCCCTGTCCTGCCACTTGCCAGCAGTACCTTCATACAAGTTGCCAAGCCCTTTAGGGCTCACTTTTCCCATATGTAAACTAGAAAGTATAATGGTTCTATCTATGGAACAGCTTTAAGGATTAACAGAGAAAGTACACGTGCATTTTCAGAGAAACAGAACCAACAGGACATATAGAGATATATGAGAAGGGATTTATTATGGTAATTGGCTTATGTGGTTATGGAGGCCGAGATATGCCACAATACACTGTTGGCAAGCTGGTGACCCAGGAAAGCTGGCGGTATAATTCAGTCCCAGTCTGAAGGCCTGAGAACGGGGGGATCAGATAATGTAACTCCCAGTTCAAGGTCAAAGGCTCAAGAACCAGGAGCCCCCATGTCCAAGGGCAGGAGCAGATGGATGTCCCAGCTCAAGGAGAAAATTCATCCTTCCTCCACCTTTTTGTTCTATTTGTACCCTCAATGGATTGAACAATACCCACCCACATTGGTGAGGGTGAATCATGTTTACTTAGTCTGCTGTTTCAAATACTAATCGCTTCCAGAAACACCATTCCAGACAAACCCAGAAATAATGTTTTACCAGCTATCTGGATGTTTCTTAGCCCAGTCAAGTTGGCACATAAAACTAACCATCACAACAGGTAATACACTTAGCACTAATCACATAATAAATACCCAATTAATATTGACTCTCATAATTATTCTTACAGCCATCTTTAGCCTCCAGTTCCAAACTTAGTTCAGTCTGTTGGTTACAAGAGTCCCAGGTGCTGACCTGGGTCTGACCTGCAGACGAGGATCTCTTCTTTGGTCTCATTCTTTTTTTTTCTCTGAGGGGTAGCACAAGCTCTTACTAAAGTGAACAACTC